TGATTCTGCAGCAATGTTGGGAATAAAACACTCTGTTGTCCATAGGATCCATTTCTCCCTGACTGGTTTATGGGAAGTCAGAGCGACACTGAGAGTTGGGTTTATTTTTCGTTTAATTTCCTACACTGACAGTGTAGGAAAACATTACCGAGCTGGTCAAAATGATGAAATTGTAGCGACTTAGAGGAACCTGCTCTTTCTCCTAACTTTGGCAGCAGGATTAGACTGGGGCTGATGTTTATAGAGAGACGGATGGAGGCTCCGAGCGGCTCTGCAGGGATGGGGCCGGCAGTGTCCGCAAGGAGACGCATCCGGAGGAAGGCACTGGTGGACTTCAAAGAGGTCCCAACATAGCAAAGGTTGTTTATGTATTTGTATTTAGCTCTAATTGGGTTATCAGCTGAGACTCGGCGGATTAAATGAACTGACCTAAATACTGGTCTCAGTGGTCTTAGTTAAACATCCAGTTTCTTGCTCGTTGGCTCGTTTGGTTTCCGAAATTCTCTCCACAGAGCTTTATTTTTGTATGGAAAGCATAAAACCGCATCGTGAGGTTTGTTACGGCTCTTGCCCAGTGCGGACGGGCGCCGCAGGCAGCTTGAAGAGCGGCTGAAGCTCCCCCGGAGCATCGCAGCCTTGCAGAAAGTCCCCAGAGGTGGTGGGGACGGAGGAGACAGTGCCCAGTGCTGGCGCTGGCATCGCGGGTGTCGCTTACTAATAGCAGATGGTGGAGAGGAGAAGCCATCCATTTTCACTTCCAATTTATTTTTATTCTGCAAGAGGCAGGATTGCTCGAGTCGTTGCTGACAGGCAATCCCCTGGAAGGAGAGCCTTATTTACTGTGATGGATTTTTTTTTTTTTGAGTGATTTTTTCATCCTGGTATATTCAGGGCCAGAAGGGAAATGGAAAATGAGCAATTTCACTGTCCAAGGGGCTGGCAGGTTTTCATGGAGCAGGGGCTCAGTGGGTCTGTAAAACCCTCCCTGCGTTCAGCTGTGTAGCCTGACACCTCCCTGCTCGCTAAACAAGCTGCTTTTTCCCGAGGCTGCGAGCTCTATCTTTCCCCTTAGGAGCAAGGCAGAAAAATAACATGCAAAATGACTTCACCATTTAGCAATTCCTTTGCACTTGAGGCAGCAGGTGGCTGGGAGGCTCAGTGAAACCTCCCAGCTTTGCCCTGCTCACCTCAGTCACCCACGTCTGGCCAAGAGGATTGCAGATACTGCAGGCTATTCCTGAGCATCTCTGTTGGAGCAAAATTGGGGCTTATTCTGCTTTTCAGCTATTCCTGCAGAATTCCCGCCCCAGGAGCAGGGGCATTTTGCAGCAGGCAGAAGGGGAGAGCCAGGTTGGTCTCTACACACCTCTACCCACAGTGGCTGTGTTAAGAGCAGTTAGCCTCTTGTGAATTTAATTTAACCTTAATTTCCAATGCAACTCCTCCCTGCAGCGCCCCATGGCTGGTTTATCTCTGCAGCTGGGTCCATGTTTTCTGCCTCCCTCCAGGTGAAGCCACTTTTGGCTCATCAAGGTGGAGACTTTGCAAGGTCCCTCTGAGCTGATGGTGGTTGCTGCAGGATGAGGATTTATTAGGATGCAGGATCTTGCATCTAGTGCTGCCTTTGAGACTCTGTTGCTGCTTGGACACCCTTTCCCTATAGCATATGCTGGATGCTGGGGCCAGGAAGGTGTTCTCTGATTCTTCACAGATTCCAGACAGCCGTTTCAGGTGGGAGAGGACAGAGTTTAAGATATATCTGCCTGTGCAAAAATTAACCTATTTGCACTTTTTCTCCCCACCGTTATTCTGTATGGATCCTGTTATCATGCTGAGATGACCCATTCCTGGGGAGCAAGCTGGAAACAGGAGTGCTGCCTTGCTTGGGAAGGGCTTCCCAGCACTGTCCTGTGCTTTGGCCGAGTTTTTTAATACTGTCCCTTGGCTTTGTTTCTTGGTGCAGGTCTTCCGCACTGACCTGATCACGGCCATGAAGATTCCCGACTCGTTCCAGCTGAGCCCGGATGAGTACTACATCCTCGCGGATCCCTGGAGGCAGGAGTGGGAGAAGGGCGTGCAGGTGCCCGCCAGCGCCGAGGCCATCCCTGAGCCCGTGGTTAGGTAAGCGAGAGGTTGGAGAAAGCCTGGTAACATCAGCAGGAGGGTTGAGCAGAGCAAGGTGGAAGCACGTGGAGTGTAGGCTCCTGTGTCAGCCCTGGATGCAGCCAGTGTTTGGTGCTGAGGCTGCAGGAGTCGGCCCTGGGCTTAAAAACCTCTGTCTTGCTGCTCTGAGTAGCTCTTGGATGCGGAAAATGTGATGGGAAGGTGGAGGTTTGGGGGCTTGACAAGGAGCAGCCCAACAAACGTCCCCCTAACCTCGCAGAGGAAAAGTGCGCTGGTGCCGTGTGATATCTCGTTGGGCTATTTTAGAATAGGGATTAAAAGTGCAGTTTAAAATAGCCGGTTAAACAGCTGCTGGGGCAGCGCAGAAATGTGGGAGAGCTGCCGTGCACTTGGAATCAGCACCGGGACCGCGCGGAGCTGCCGGCCACGTTGGGGTGACCCGACCGGTCCCGCAGCTGCTGGTCCTGAGGGGATGAGGCACCTCCTGTGCAGCTGTCCCTGCCTCCCTGCGGGAAAACGGGAAAGAAACGGAACTTTAGTGAGGCCGAGCACATCAAAAGGGAAGTTTTAAAGGGGTTGAGTTGATTTAGTCTCGAAGAAGAAGGAAGGAGGGTATAAAAAGCCCCCCTGTGTGCGGAGCAGCTTTTTTTATCCGTCTTTGATAGCTAACCGCAGTCTGGCTGGCGGGCCCGTCTGCTCCCCAGCTGAGGCTGCAGCGCCTTCCAGCTGGGAAGCGCCAGCCCTGCGGTGCCCGGTGGCGGGTCCCGCGGCTTCCGCCCGTGCCGGCACGTCGGAGCATCCTGCAGGGTCCCGGCATCTGTCCGCCTCTGCTCTCCTCCCAGCCCCTGCATCCCAGAAGGTTGCTCCGGGGCCCCTCGGTCTGCCAGGGGGATGCTCCAGCGCACATCCTCGTTGCTGTCCTTGCAGTAGCCTTTGCCCCAAATCTTGGAGTTTTTTGAGGCTGCTGTTGTGCCTCTGCTCACTCATCTTTCCTCTAGACTAAACAAGCCTATCTATTCTCAGCCTTCACCAAAGCTCATATTTTCGAGAGCTGCTGCCCCCCCAGGCTTCCCGCTGGTGCAGGAGCGGATGCGGGCTTGGGCCGTGGTGGTACCAGGCTGGAACGGCAGCTTCCCCACACTGCCCGTGGACTCCCGGGTGCCTAATCCCATGTTCCAGGCCAGCCAACACGTGTGCCTTGCTTTGTGGTTGGGATCTGCTCGATCCACCACCTCCTCTCCCTAAACAGCTCCTGGTTGTCTGGTTATCCCCCTCGTGAACCTGAGGAGTCGCCTCCTGCAGCACCTTGGGCTGCTGCATTTGGTCCTCCACACGGTTCTGGATGTGGGTCTCACTCCATGAAGCCTTGGGAGCCCCTTGCTTGGAGGGGAGCCGAGCAGATCTTGGGGTGCCGTGACCCAGAGCTCCAGGGATGCGTCGCCCCTTTGGCTTCCCCTCTCCCCATTCAATTGCTCCATGATCCTTGAAGCCTCTCTGGTAGCTGTAGCTTGGCCAAAAAAGTCACTGTTTTTGGTGACCTTGGTGACAGCAGCACTTCAAGGGCTTATGTACCTTTTCCTGGCTTTAATATGCCCGCATCTGCAACCCCCATGGAACAGGAACCTCACAAGGGTGTGTTTTTATGTGTGTGTATGTGTGCACATGTGTTTGCGCATCTATATGTGTGTGTATATATAGAACAATGTGCCTTATTGCACAGGTGGGAGGCTGAGGTGCAGTAGGGCAGGCAGCAGGGATGGGTGCAGGGGTGGATGCTCCACGTCAGCTCGGTGGTGCCGGTGCTGTTGGGAGTGACAGCTGTTTCCGTGTGAAATTCCCAGAGGGAGAAGCCGCCCGGTGACCTGGAAGCTGCAGTGCGAGGCGCAGGGCGCCCGCCAAGTGGAATGAGATGGTGTCGATGGGGAGCACGACCCTGCGAGCGGCTCCCGCAGCAGGACAGGGCCAGCTCCTGCCTGCTCCGGGGTAAATCCCTCCTTCCTAAGGGTTTGTGGCACTTGGCAGCTGCTGACGCTCTTTTCAGCCTCCGATGGCCTCTAGGGATCCTGTCCTCCAGGGGGTGAGATAAAACGTGTTAATCCAGCAGGTTCTCACTCGGTGCTGGAGCCACTTGGATTTTTACTTTAATGTATTTAATTCTCCCGGTGGGTGCCCACATGTAGCGGATCCGGCGCCTGGCTGCGGGTGGATTGGAGCAGCCTCGGATCCTGTTCCAGCCCAGGGGGATCCCTGTGGGGGCTGCAGGTGCAGAGCTGCCACCCGTCGCCCTCTGCTCTCCCTTGCGAGGTGGGTGCGACTGAAAGCGGAGCTGTTTGTGTTATTGAAATAACTGCGGAAACCTCTCTGGCCGAGATAATGAACTCCAGATGCTCTGACGCTGGGAACTTGGCCCCGCGCGCGTGAGGAAGCAACGTCTGTCTTGCTCCTCATCTCAGGCAAGCGCACGCTCGGCCCTCCCTGCCTCTGCTGGTGGCTCTTCCCAGGTGCACGTTAATTAAGTGGGAGTCGGAAAGCTTTAGCAAGCTGTGTTCTCTGTTTGGAGAAGCTCAGCTGACCTCCAGGGAGGTCCTGAATAGGTTGTTGTCCTTCGGGAGCAGTCGGAGAGCTATCGCAAGCGGCAGAGCTGCCCAAGGTGGGTTTCTGTGGGGCTTCATGGACCCCTTGATTCCTGTTTGATGTGGGAAGGTTATGTGCAGTGGAAAAGGGGAAGCTTTAAGGTGCCTCTGCCCTTGAAGCATCTCCCTGGCTTCCCTATCCATCACTTGGTGCTGCTGCCCTTTCCCCCTGGCCTCCCGCTAGCTCGTGTGTACAGACAGCTCTCACGAACGCCCTGGGCAGTAGGAATGGTGTGTGTGCATGTCTGTGTGTGCGCACACTTTGCTCTGGGCCAGACGCTGCTTTAGTCCAGTTAACCGGAAAAACATCTGTGTTTTGTTGCTGAAACCAGCCCGAGGTCCCACCTCATCTGCACTGCCCCGGCTGCCGCCGCTTCTCGTGCGCACAAAGGCTCTGGGGTGAGCCCTGCTGCCGAGCTGCATCCCCAGCACTCTGCTTTTCTAACATCTTAAATGCTGCTCTTTATGGAGTAGCAATAACGCCTATAAAATCTGTTAGCTTAAGTTCATAAGCAGATTGGGTGCCTGGTCTGAATAGCCTGCTAGAGCCTGGTTTGAATAAACAGAAAGTGGAGATCGTGCCTTGAAATGACAGTGAGCCCTCCAGAAGTGAGTGTGCCACAAAACTCCCTGATAGCGGCAGCGCCCAAGGTTGCTGCCAGAGTTATCTTTCCACTGGCTTCGCTAAGCTGATTTATTTATGGATGCTGGACAAGGCAAATATAGGCTGGAATATAGGTAGAGAAGAGTGACTAAAGCCTTCATTGTAATAAAATTAAGTATTTGCAGAAGGGAAACCTATATGGGTTTGTTTATTATTCTCCCTAGTACATTAAAAGGGAGCGTATAGAAGAGCTGCCTTCTCACTTTAGCCAAGTGAGGCATTTGCTTTACTGAGCTGATTAATCACGGGAATTTGAGGGTTTTTTTTATTAACGTGTAGTCTTCTCTGGGGACACGTGTGATTCTCAAGAGTCTTGGGGTCCACTTACTTGTCTTCCTGAAGGGCCCTTGAGACCCACTTCTACATTAATGGCCTCGAGTTTGTTCTGCTTTCTAGACTGATAGCAATTTTCAGCCCCTCTTTTAAATACGCTCTTGATTGAAAGGGGCTTTTTTTTAAATATGTCGTGCATCTGTCTAGCTGCATGAATAAAGGAAGCCAACATCTCTGGGGCACTCGAGCTCCTTCAGGCCCTTCACAGGAGCAGGACAACTGTGGTTGCAGGAGGGCTCGGCTGGGAGGAATGTGATTTAGGGGGAGGTAGAGGAACTTCTCTTCCTCAAAATTGAGGTCATTAAGAGCTGGGCTCTTAATCTTGACTTTTCTTTTTAAATGAAAGTGTTGGTACCATAAGCAGGGAGATGATGTGGGCTCTCTCCCAAGCCAAGAGAGATGCCAGAACACAGAAGAGCAGCTCTGCCTGCTCTGGCCAAGGATGAGCAGTGGGCACTTGGCTAACTTTTAGAAAACCATGCCCCCTCGGCCTGGGAGGGGCAGATGGAGGAAATGTTGATGTTTTTGCCCTGTTCTGGAGCCAGTGGTGGTACCAAGCACCATCTGAGCAGCCGCTCTGAGCCACCTTCAAGAGGGGAAGATCCCAGGTAGGGGCAGCTCTGATCCTAAGGAGATCCAGTCCTGCCTCTGGAGTCCCATCTCCGACTGGTGCAAGCCAGGTGGAGCAGCACTCAAGTCAGAGATTTATAGCAGCATAAAACAGCATAACTGGAAGCAGATCCCAACCTGCCATTCTTGCTTTCCACTTAGATGTCTTAAATCGCTGCAGTGAGAAGTCTGCAAAGATGTATCCAGCTATTGGTTAGTGGCTCTGTGCAATCTCCAGATGGGATTTTAATAGCAGAATTTGCCTTCCAGAGACTGCTAGGAGCAGCTTCACCTCTGTTATATGGCCAAACTCTGACCGTCTTATGTAGCTCCAGCAAAAAATGAGCACAAAAAAGGCTTTCCTGGTGCACCGGCCTCACTCGGATAGCACCAGGATTTAGTGGTGAGGCTCTTAAGAGAGGCATTGCATATTAATACTTATTCTTTGTAACACAAATAATTAGCAGCGCTTCATAGACAGAGGGTGCAGCAAAGAGTTACTCTATAAATTTCAGTTCAGGGTAGAGTGAAGAAAAAACATTTTAATGGTGAAATGCTGGGAAAAACTGAATGCAGGGCTTTTCTGCGAGTGCATCTGGCCCTGAAACCTCCACTTTCAGGGCCACGATGTGGGTGCCCTGTTGCACATCACAGGAGGAGGTCCCAGGTCCCGGCCACACGTGCTCGTGTCCTTAGCGAGCCACGTGTGTGCTGGGCTGCCCGTTGGGTGCCCACACAGCAATGTCCGTGCTCGTGTGCCAGGCTGGGAAGAGAGGCTCCTTCTTCCACGGCTCGGAGCCTCCCGCCTGGCTGTGTTTCAGAGCATCACCTGTTGCTGCTGGCTCGGCGCTGAGCAAGTTGTATAACGGGATTAATAAAGGCTTGCGGCCGAGCGTGCAGCGCAGCTCCCCCTTTCCAGCATCTCTAAAGACATGTTCCTTGCAGTGCCAGGGATTTTTCTTGACAGCTTTGAGCTTTCTGCTGCAGGACCCCTGTGCTGAGCTTGCCCAGTGGCTGGCCAAGGACTTGAAGCTTTTCATGGCTACCTGGGCTCAAGGCAAAGAGGGTTTCAGCTCTTCTTGGGCCGAGGCACATTGCACCATGACGCCTGTGTGTTTTTAGGGCTGTAAACGTGTTCTTGGATCCGTAGATGGAAGCCCTGAGACTTGCTAGGAGCGTGCTGGGTGTCAGCGCCGCTGTTGGCGCCAAGCACAGATCCTGCTGCAGCCCCCAGACCGCAGTCAGCTCACTTCAAAATCTGGAGACCCTGTCAACTAGGGTTTTCACAGGGTTTTCTTCAGACCCCGGAGCGAAATTTGTGGGAGATGTGCATGGAGTAGTAAGGCAGGTCTTTTTTTTACAATTTATTGATGGGGAAACTGCCCGGAGACCTTTAGAGACCATGTTTCTCTTGCATTCATCAATGTGAGGACTTAACTCTGGTAGGTCAATGACAAAAATCATTCTGTGGGTAGGGGAGAGGTAGCAGGAATTAGTATGGATTGGATGACCTGGAAGGGAGGCTTCCCAATCTCTGCCCTGGAGCAGCCAGCGGAGCACATGGTTTTCCTAAGCAATCCTTGCAAGGATCTCTGGGATTGCTGGATACCCCAGCAGGTTTGGCATCCTGCCTTGGTAAGCCAGTGTCACCACCATCCCATACGGTGTCACTTGTGCCTTGTCGTGGCCTGTAGCAGGTGTTTCTGGTGCTGCGGTGACTCGGTGGGAGCGAGGCCAGGTGGTGCTAGATGTCCCATGAAGGGACACGGTGTCCCCGGCGTAGCTGCAAGGTCACTCATTTGAGCATTGAGATTTGCCACTAGATTAAGGGCAAGGTGAGTGGGAAGCCGGCCCATGCCGGCTGGTTCCCTAGCACGGATGTGCCGATGTGACGCTGCTTCCATCGGGTGCCTTTCCGCCCGTCCACGTGTCCCTCTTGGTGACGTTGTATCAGTCGGAGCAGCTGTAGTGACATCTTGCATCACTAAGGCAGTTGGAGCTCTACGACATTCCTGTGGAGGCTGAGAATTGGTCCTTTGAGGTGCGTCAGAAAGATTTGTGAGGCTTTAATAAGTGAGTTGTGATGGTGACCAGCTATTCACACGTGGTTTGACATACCAAAAAAGGAACTGATGGCCAGTGTTTTTTTCAAAATTGGGCTGCTTTACAGAATCAGAGTGCTTTAATCCGTTCCAAATCAAACCACCGAATAGGGTACCCCAAACTAGCAGCCCCTGTGAAAATGTGTGTCTGGGTTCTGATCCTCCAAGTGCCTGAGACACAGCGGGCCGTGTTGAGCCCACGAGATCTTGCTAGGCCGGCTAGTTGCGTCTTTGCAAGCTCTAGCGCTTTCTCAACTCTTCCTCCTTTTCTTCCAGGATCATACCCCAGCTGGACAACTCGCTTTCACAGGGCTCGCCGAGCAGCCCGCCCGTCTGCGAGATTTCGGAAGCGACGAGGACGTACTTGCAAGGCATGAGCCGCTATGACTTGGATGAGCTTGATGCCTACTGGTTGGAACTCATCAACATGGAGCTCAAGGAGATGGGTGAGTCCTGCTGGGATGCCTCTGCTTGCTCGGGATGTGTGTCGAGTGGGCATTAAGTAATGATGTGGAACCAAAGTCGGAAGGCCTTGATGAAGGAGCTTTGGTTCTCCAAAAGAGCTTACATGGATTGCCACAGTGCAGGACCTGAGTGCATCTTGGTGCTTCTTGCTCACTTTGGGGATTGGGGGCCAGTGCAAGAGGAACAGGGCAAAGCAGATGATTGCAGCAATTGTGCAGTTTCTCCCACGGAGCAGGAATCTGGTTTGCAGAAGATCTGATGGACCCCAGAGGCCTCGTCTCTGGTCCTGCTCCTTGCAGCATCTGTGCTGCAGGAGGAGGTGTGTGGTCAGGGTGGGCACATTGATCCTGGCTCCTCTTCCTTTGACTGGCCAGATCTGAGAGCGTCGCTCACAGATGGAGTCAGAGGAAGGAGGATTTCCTAGTCAAAACACACGAGCTCAGGAATGCTGATCCTGCGCTGTCTCCTTTCTCAGTTGTCTTTAAATAGCCCTGTGTAGTGTTGGCTGCATTGCTGCCCTGCTATATCAGCACGTGTTTTTAAAATCCATTAGTGCATTTCTGTTAAGTGCAAGTAACCGGACTGGGAACTCGGCTGCTGGCGCTGCTGCTCAGCATGGTCTGCTGGGCAGAGTGGCTGGCGCAGAGGCAGCGTCGTGCCGGGCTCCGCGGGGAGTTTCCAGTCCTTGTTGGGTGTGGGTTGTTGTGGTGCCATTACTGCTGCTCAGGTAAGAACAGCAGCACAATAAAACGTTCACCTTTGAGATCCGTGGAGGCTGGAACGTGCACCCGGAGCGGTGCCGCCCGGGGCAGACGTCTGCACGGGAGGGCAGAGCACGTTGGAGCCCTGCCCTCTGGGCACAGCTTCATCCCGCCAGCACGGTGATGGGCCAAGACGCGGCTCCTCTGGCTCTGCGGGGTTAAATTTGGCTCATGTCAGTATTTCTTCGGAGTACTGGGCTAGGGATGTGGCTCTCAGATGTGGGGCTTCCCTGCGGATGGCTCGTGCAAAGCCTGGGAGACGTGTGCCAAGGTGCCACATGCGGCTTATCCAGTGGGGAAGCTGCTGCAAGGATGGTTCTTAGCAGGTCTCTGTGTGGCTGGAGGGAACCAGGAGCCCTCCCAAACAAGCAGTTTCCAAACAAGCTTTGTTAAACTTCTGCAATCATCGTTAAGGTGGCTTAATTGAGCAGCGTGGCCTCTGGCAGCCAAGGCAGGAGGAACCTCCCGCCAAATCTGCAGCAATAGGCAGGAGTTCAGGCTCCTCCGGGTCCTGGTGGGATCGATGTCCTGCGTGTCACCCGCAAAATATTTAATGACAAAGGAAGAGCAGCCTCTCCGCCCAGCACCGGGAGGGGGGCTGGAAAACACCCATGAGATCATCCCTGCTGCCACCGGCTTTCCCAGCCGCAGCGCCGCCGTTTCCAGCCCTTTTTAGGGCACCCTGGAGAGGGAAGTTTATCATGGAGATCAGCTCGACCTTCTGGAGGGGCACTGAACTTGAGCAGCCTGGCTGCAAAGCAAAGGTTTCTTGCATAAAACAGCTTTAAAATAATTCTAACCCCTCCCCACACCCACCCCCCTCATGTTTCAGTAGCTGTTACTATTCCGAGTCAAAATGTGCTGTTTCAAGGACTTCGGCGCAACGGAGGTGACCTCAGTGGTTAAGCATGCCTGGACGGCTGCTTTGCTGCTGGTGCAGTTTGTGATGTTTAAAAACAGCAAAACTTTAATAGTATCACCCCAAAGCCATCAAGGAGACACGTTTCCAGGTAGCGGCTCCATAAGCCAGTGGCAGAGGTGACACCACCAAGAGCCTGGGGAAAGGAATGAAATGAGAAAGTTTTCTTGCAGAAACATGTGCTGCAGGAAAGCCCCTTGCCTCTACCTTAATGTATAGGCGGGCAGGAGGGGGGAGCCGCGTTTCGCCTCCGTGTTTTGCAGCACGAGCAGATTTTATGTCAGGTTGTTGTTTCACCGTTTGCATAAATCCCCTGTGGTGTTTGCCGGGCTTTCCAGTACCGAGGGTTCCTTCATTTGGGGTTTGCTGCGGGGGGAGGAAGAGGTTTAATAGCAGTGCCCCGGGCCGGCTCCATCGACGCACGGCTTTACTGCGGAGAGACGGCGGATTATAAAGCGGCTGCTGAAACGTTTTGTCATCATCTTAAATCTGAGCAATAATTGATGTCGGTGGGTGGCAGAAAGGGTGATAATTGGTTCCTGTAAATCTTGTAAGTGCATTAGCAGGCTGTGTTTGCAACAAAAACATCTCGAAGCTTCGCTGCGTGTGCTTGGCTCGTGTGCAGGGGGCACGTGCTGTGGTTACCCTGTTGGCTGGGCTTGATGGTGTGGGTCTGTCTGCGAATCCTGTTCGTGCCCGAGGGAAGTGCAGCCGTGATGCTCGGATGAGCAGAAGGTTTTCTGCAACCTGCAGGGCTCTGATCAGCATCCGAGGAGCTGGTGGTGTCCCCGTGACCAGCAGAGATGGGTCTGCTTTAATCCATCATCGCCACAAAGGGCATGGGAACATGTGAGCTGGGACTCTGCAGGCCAAGGAGGTGGAAGAGTGGGGAGGAAGCAAAGGATCCCGGTGATCCCGAGGACAGGGTCAAGCTGTTGTTGGACCAGTACCCTGGGCCCAATGGGGACATCACCACCTTGCACTCTGCCATACCCTATATGATAGCAGACTCATCTACATCATCTCCCAAGTGCTTTTTATTTTTAGGAGCAGTAATTTTGATTGCTTGCATGTTTTTTGCAGGAAAATAGATTCTGAGGCTTATAGTTTGTGCACCGACTAATGGTGCAGCCTGCAGCCCCCGTGGTTGTTTGCTCATGAGCTGTTTTATCTCCAGATACACTCTGCAGGGTAAAAGGATTTATTGTTTCAGTAAATTGATTTTAGTGGCGCACAGTTTAGTCAGAAATAGGTCTCTGCTTTGGGGAAGGTGGCTCTCCAGCGATGTGTTTTTTGTTTTTTGTTTTTTTTTCTCTCAGTGCAGTGAGCAGGCTCAAGCTGGAGTAAAGAATAGCAGAGAATTCATTTAGCAGAGGAATATTGCTCCTTCACGCCACATAAATTACAGTATTGAGAAAATGATCATAACAGTGAATGGCGTTGCGTGAAGAAATGTGTTTGACCACAGCTGCAAAGTTGGTGGGTGAACCTGGGAGGACCTGCTGGTCCATGGAGGTGCCAAATTATGTCCAAAAGTTTTGGTTGCTGATGGGGCTGCGATGGGCATGCAGGAAAGCCCTTTTGCACAAGATCATGGCCTGCCTTAATGCACTGCAAGTGTCTTTTTCACTGTTCTCATTGACAATCTCTATGTGTCTGGGTTGGGGGTTCCTAGGCTCCCTCGTGGCGGGTGCGCCAGAGTGTCGTCCCTGGGCTGATTCCACTGGATTTATTCCAAGATCAGTATCCGAGTCTTTGCACATTGCTCCACAGGGAAAATAGCGGTGTTACTGTTGCATTAGAGAGTGTTTGGGTTGAGCCTTTTTGTTGTTGTTTTTGCTCTTTGGCTGGCCACGATCGATACGGATAGCGCTTTCTCAGCCAAAAAGATGACAATTTTATGAATGGGGTTTAATAGCAGTAACTTTATATGATGCAGAAGGAGATAAATGGAGCACAAATGGAAGACGAACTTCACCCTGAGGCCCTGTTGGTTAGTGTTTCATAAGCGATTAATCCCTTCATCCCCATCGAGCACAATTGTCGATTCAATGAGCTCCAGGGTAGCTGAGCAGGGCCAACGAGCGGCGGCCTCGTGTGATTCCCTCTCCGCGGAGCACGAGCGAGGCAGGCGGGAGGCATCCCCAGTATAACGGCGCAGCAAACGCATTGCACAGGGATGGAGCAGAAACCTGCTCTGCTTGGGGCGGGAAGGCCACGCGCCGCTCGTGTCCCCAGGGCTCCTGCAGGACGGAGCCTCGCGCTCCCCATCCCTACTGGGCTGTGGTGGGTTTGAGCACTCTTGGCACCGGCGTTGACTTTCTCCCGCGGGTTTTGCTGGCAGTATCGCTGGCAATGAAATATTTAGAGCCTGCTCAGCAGTTGAGGTGCGCGGAGGCAGATCGCTTGTCGCTCCAGGAGGCTTCTTTCCACTCGCGGTGCAATGGGACCCGTGCGTTCCCGGCCCTGGCACGGGTTGGTCTTGGGTTTCCTGCAGAAATTCCCCCTCGCTCCCTTTCCTTCTCCCCTCTCTGGCCTCGGGATGGGCAGAGGCTCGGGTTCCCTGAGCATCGTGTTCACAGCAGCTTCCTGCTGGGGGAGGGAGACCCCAGCGGTTGTTTTATGGAGTAGAGGCCAGAAATATGGGGAGAAATGGAGTAATCCCAGGCTCACCCTGCTGTAATGATTTGCTGATTCAAAAGACTGGCCCAGAAAAGCCTGCTCTTAGCAGGCTCGGATAAAGCCCACATGAAGTCATGCTTGGAAGGCCACCAAGGCTGATGTCTCCGGAGGGCACGTGCGGCAGAGCTGGGCTGCAGGGAACCGCCTTTCGGCTCTTCCCTGCAACAGAGTTTCGTGCAGTCAATAAGAGTTGGGGTTGGCCTCCTCTTCCCGGTTGTCCCGGGGGATGAACCGCACGGAAAGCATCTCCAATGCATGTTTTCGCTAAGGATTCCAGTGCAGACATAGTAAAGAGCAGCCTGGTAGACACGAGCTCGCTCTGGGCCTGACCTTTGGGCTCCTGTGGACCCAACATGGGTGAGAAAAAAAAAAAATAGACATGTTTGTCCTTGTTTTCAGCCTTTGGCTTCAGTTTTACAATTCAATTTAATTGGCCTGAAAAGGGTCAATTTTCACAGCTATCACAATTAAAGCGTTGACTTTGCGTTGCCAAAGCTTGCCTGAGCCCTCGCCGCAGAAAGCGTCTTTGCAGAACTTGTCTCCTCGAACGTTTAAGCTGTCAGACCCAATTATCCGCGTTGCTTCAGCTCAATGGCTCTCGCTGCTCTCAGCCAGCAGCAATATTTTGCTGCTGTCTATGAAACGTAAACCGTATCCTGAGTTGGAAGCAGCCGTTTTCTGAAGCACCGATCGTATCGTCTCCCTGGATTTGCCTCTTAAGGGGAAGCTTAAAGTGCCTCTGCGGTGCAGCACAGACCAAAGGCAGATCTGTGGGTGGGTAGTGTGTACGATGCCAAAATCATCCCCTCTCTCGCGCCTTGCAGAGAGACCAGAGCTGGACGAGATGACCCTGGAGAGAGTCCTGGAGGAGCTGGAGACCATGTGCTATGAGAACATGAACATCGCCATTGAGACGGAGGAGGGCCTCGGCATCGAGTACGACGAGGACGTGGTGTGCGACGTGTGCCGCTCCCCGGAGGGCGAGGACGGCAACGAGATGGTCTTCTGCGACAAGTGCAACGTCTGCGTGCACCAGGTGAGCGGCCGCGAGGAGCCCCTCGCCCCACGTGTCCTCCTGCACTTGTGCCCTGCCTGCCTTCCCTGCCTTGCCCTAGAGCAGCATCTGAGCTTCTGCCATCAGTTCCTTCTTCAATGGTCCTTGGATAGCAAGTGTTGTCTTTGTCAGACTTGAGGTGGTTTCACATGTGCTTTTCTTGCTTTCTTTCCAACAGAAGTCTGCTTCAGCATTTCCCACATTCTTGCTTTGCCCCTTCCTTTTTGTGCCTTCATCTCTGTGACTTTTCCCATCTCCTCTTCTGTCAATGTCCATATTCTCCCAGACTACCTCCTTCCCTGCCGGCCATCAGTTCCTTCTTCAATGGTCCTTGGATAGCAAGTGTTGTCTTTGTCAGACTTGAGGTGGTTTCACATGTGCTTTTCATGCTTTCTTTCCAACAGAAGTCTGCTTCAGCGTTTCCCACATTCTTGCTTTGCCCCTTCCTTTTTGTGCTCTCATCTCTGTGACTTTTCCTGTCTCCTCTTCCGTCAATGTCCATATTCTCCCAGCCTACGTCCTTCCCTGCCATGTTTCTCTGTATTAAGTTGCTGCCAAGGGATCTGCAGCATCCAGGAGAGACCAGGCTGAGTGCAGAGCCTGGTCACCCTTGGTGGCAGGTTAGGAAGGATGTTGGTCTGATCTTGTGCTAGCGAGTGGGATGGATGGGCAAGTCTTTCCTGCAGCCCCCTCCATGGCAATAACCATGTGAGGTTGTGCTGGGGGCTTGAGGACTTTGTCTCCACTGTCTCCCATGGCAGAGTCTTCCTCCTGGTTTCCTTGCTGCAAGGATGTGGAACTTCACTTGATTTTAGTGCCGGAGGAAAAATCTTCTATTTTTAGAATCAAATGTAGATGCTTCGGGGCTCTTCCTCGGGACGGGGGGAATCACGGTGGTGTCTGCGGGATCCTGGGTTGGCCCATGCACTTGCAGTTCCAGGTGACACGGCCTCTGTCGCGTTGGCCACAGCAGCTGCTGGACTGGGCCAGGCCGGAGCCCTCCGCTTCCCCCTGCCTGTGGGTTTTCCTCTTTTCCTCCCCAAAGAGATCCCTCTGCTCATCTTCCGGGCAGCTTTTCCTTCAGTGCTTCCCGGAGGTGGGAGCGCTGTGGATAAGTATAGTCGAGGCAAGTGGGTGTTTTGCACCGTTTCCATCAGTGAATCAGAGCCTGCCGGATACGGGGACGATTCCGCCCCGACGCCAGGCGGGTGCCTGGATTTAGAGACCGCTAAAGGAGCGGGAGCTTCTGCATCGCTCGCAAGGAGCAGGGAATCGGGTTCTAAGCGCTTCCAGCGATGCAATCGCTGCCCTGATTTACACCCTGAGCAGAGCGGCCGCGGGACGTGTCACGAGTTGTGTCGCGGCTCGGCACAGCGGGCGGGCGATGCCCAGAACACATTCCTGGATTATAGCGCCGGAAGGGATCATTGTAATCGTCTCATCTGCATAACACAAGCCAGGAGACTTGCTATTAATTAATTCCCGCAAAGCCTATCGTTTTTGCAAGCACCTGCAATCGTCGCTTTAAAATCTTCAGCCTCCCTCTTCCCGCTGCTAAATCATTCAGGTTCGTTACCCTCGCAGCAAAAACGCTGCGTTTCCCTTTAGCGTGAAAATTGCCCATCTCCAGCTTCCCACCCCTCATCCCGGTACTGCCAGATTTCCATCCCTGCAATGAGGCTGTGGCTCCTGTGCTGGGAGCTTGTGTTTGGCTGGCAAATGATCATGTTCTTGGGGCCACTGCTGGCCTGGGAGGAGGCTCTGTGGTATTTGATTCCAGGAGCAAAATGTCACCTCCACAGCTCTGGAATCTGTAGGGATAAGTAATGGGAAGCTGAGATTGCTGAACAGATCCATTGGAGCTGCCTTGGTGATTCCCTGCTTCCCTGTGAGTTTTGGAGTTTATCTGTGTGTTTATCTTCTTTATTTTGCCTGGTACCAAATCAGATGTTTGACAAAAATCTGCTACAGACATGTCTTTATCAGCCAAAGTTAGATTCTCTCTGAAACACAAAGTAAGTTTGTCAAGACAAGCTCTTCCCAAACCCATATAGACAGGCAGCAACAATATTACCTCCTTTAATTCTTCTAATTCTTTATTAGTATAACAATCTGATCATAAACGGACCTTTTCCCCCAGAGAAACTAGAGGCAGCTTGCATGTTGGGAATATTGGGACCTGCCGATTAAAATCCCTCTGCTCTTGATGCTCCAAAGTTAGTGCTGGAGTGGAAAATATTTTATCGTCATCGCTGTGTGGCAGGGCTTATCATCTGGCTCTTTTCCAAGCAGGAAAGAGAATTATTTCTTAAGCTTGTCTGCTTCACTGCCCATGGGGGCAGCGCTTTTCTGCACGGTGCCCTGCTGAAACTTGTCCTAGCATCCCCTGGCCGTACATTTGTCCTTGTGTCCTTGGATTTCTTGGGCAGTTTTTACAGTTTCTTGAAGCTTCTGATTTATTTTCTCTCACTTCTGCCTTTACATGGTTGTTTTCACTTCCCCTTCAACCTCGGTTGGCTTTCTAACCAATGTGGCTGTCTTTATCCATTGCGGGATTGTGGCTTTTCGGCCCCAATTTACCTAGGCGGTTTTCTCCGCACTGCGTTGAATCCTCTCCAGGCCCTATGGGACCCAAGGCGTGTGTCTGTTCCCCATTGTTTTATAGACATTGTGTTTCCATAGTATGAGTATCCATGTGAAAACTGGGAAGGCAGCAAGGAAGGAAGAGCTTAAACGAGCAATGCTTGTGGTCCTTGCAATGCCCAGGTGTAATAAACCACCGTGTTTAGAACATGCTTGGGAAGGACTATATCTAGGATGGGGCTTTTCCAGGGAATCGTGGCCTGGGATTAACACAGCCCCGCTGGTGTCCATGCAGGCCTGCTACGGCATCCTGAAGGTGCCCATCGGGAGCTGGCTGTGCCGGACCTGCGCCCTGGGCGTCCAGCCCAAGTGTCTGCTGTGCCCCAAGAGAGGGGGAGCCCTCAAGCCCACCCGCAGCGGGACGAAGTGGGTCCACGTTAGCTGTGCCTTATGGATACCTGAAGTAAGATGCTGTATCGGGCTCTTTGGATGTGGGGAGGGCTCGGGGTGAGGGGCCATGCCCAAATCCCAAACTACGAGTTGGGTGGATGAAGGAGGAGGGTGGCAGCGCCTGTTCTGCTTGCCTGTGTCTTTGGGTCCATAGCTCTTGCCTGGGGATGAGGGACATTTGTGGCACCTGCCTGGGTGGGATAATGCTAATCTTATGCACCCAGCTGAGATATTCAGCTGTGTCCAAACAACATATTAATCCAGAGGAGGCAGCACTATTGCCCTCTAGCATAAATTCTTTCCTTCCATTTAATCCATATTTGGTTCTGGGTCTGAGGGTTTTTTCCAAATTACAAGTAACCTTGGGGAGAAAAAAAAAAAAAAAACACACACCAAGATCAAACCCCTCCATCCCTCATTCTGAGTGCCGCAGACGTTTCTCTATAGGAGATTTATGCTGGTAACTGGTATTGATGTTCTGTCCTCTCCTTTGTGAGCAGGTTAGCATTGGATGTCCTGAAAAAATGGAACCCATAACGAAGATCTCCCATATCCCGGCGAGCAGGTGGGCTCTGTCCTGCAGCCTCTGCAAGGAGTGCACAGGGACGTGTATCCAGGTACATAACCCGGTGCTGAAGGTTCCTGGGCCTTCTCGGTTGTGCCTGTAGCAGCCACTGGAGAGTCTCAAGCTGTCAGGGGGCTTGGATCTGGCCAAGGTTTCCTTCTAGTCTAAGTCCATGACAGAGTAAAGCTGATGGCGGGGAGCACGTACGCCAGTCAGACATCACTGAATGTTGTTATCTGTAATTATTTAATGTCTTGAGTGCTGAGAATCTAGATTAAGTTTCTTTGCACAACACAGTAGTGTTGCTGTAGTGACACTGTAATTACTGGGACCGAAAACGACCTTGATTTGAAATGGGGAATGTCAGGCAGTGAGGCGTGGAATAGCTGCTGGAAAAGTAAGATACCCCCAGCCTGAAAGCCCAGGTGTTTCAGAGACCAGCAGGGTCAGACGTGCAGCCTTTCTGTTCAAGGGGGAACTGAGAAGCTCCAGGACTCGCCAGCCCTGCCTGGTCTTGCAGTGGGGGATCTGCTGGGTGCTCTCCTGTGTCACCCCACCGGAGCAAACCACTGCAGACGCCTGATTTCCCGCTCTCCCCGTGGCTAAAGAAGGGGCTAACTTTGCATTTTGGACCAGAGGCAGGACCCGATGGACTTCGCTGCTACCAAAGCAGGGCAGACCTTGCAGGGATCATCCTGGGGCAGGGAGGAGAAGCTGCCGTCTGCATCACGGTGCCTTTGGTGGCAGAGCGTGCAGGGAGCTTTGCTGTGTCATCCGTGTCCGATTACTCCGGCTGTTTCGCCCCGCTCCGGCTGCGCAGGGCTGGTGCCTGCTGCTTTCTTGGGCAGAGCAGACATGGAAGCTGCAGCCGTCCTACATATGCAGGAGGACGTGGAATAGCCGTTAAGCTGTGAAAAATTGGGAGACAGTTTCGGGTGTGCTCCAAGCCCAACGGATCCCCTCCTGTGCCGAAACAGGAGCTGCGTCTCGGAGGTCACAGCGTGTCGGGGCAAAAGGAGCTGCCTGGCTGAGCAGGGTGATGGAGATGGGAGATCTGCAGGCCCCGCTGCGTTGATGCGACTGCCTTGGCTTTAATACTTTAAAGGAAGCTATTTGAAAGCAATCCCTTGAGCCTGAAATGAAATCTCACAATATTTCTTTAAACCTCCAGCGTTGACTCACTCCTTTCTGCTGGTTCGGAGTGGATCTGCTTATTCACGCTGCCAGATGGAGGTACCTTGTCATAGCAGCAACCGCTTTCAAAGAACGGAGGGGCAGGGAGACGAGTCAAAGACTTGGCAGCATCAAAAAGATTTCAGCTTCCCGGAGACTTCATCCTCTTAGCGCCGCATCAGGCGTTAGCTGCGAGAGCCTTCCCGTCGGCTGGATTTGCACTAAAGGTCACCTGCAGCAGGACGGGGAGCTTTGTCACCTCGGCTCCTGACAACTCGTGGTTTATAAGTCACCGTGAGATTGTCACCGAGAGGACTCGGCGATGCCACGGGGCAGGAGGAGGGAGAAGCAGGCAGTGCTGTTATCTAAGGGATTAGGGGGTAAATCGGCAGCAGGCTCGCCCTTAGGTAGGTCAATGTGTTCTGAACTCATCCGGGATGCAGGGCTCTGTTTTGAGAGCTGGTGTTTGTGGAGCCCGTTTCTGATCCGTGCCTGTTTAGGCAGGTGTAATCTAACCCCCCATCGTCAGCGCTTTAGGCTCGTGATGCAACTCCGAAGAGAAGGTTGTTTCATGTTAAAACACTCTGCTTTCAGCCTCTGCAGAGAGAATTAGATGCTCAGGGCCTGGCAGGTGGATGGCAGGTAGGTAACAGCTTCCAGGGGTGGTTTTTCCAAGCAGCCGATTGGACCTGGGCTTTGCTGGAAGGCAAACAGGAGGAGCAAGGGCTGCAGACTCGGGTGGGCAGGGAGGATTGCTGATACACAGAACCACAGCTGGAGAAAACATCTGCCTCTGCCACGGCTGCAGCTCGGAAGGGGAGGCGTTTTGCATAGGCACCAGGCTCCGTGCATCTAGGTGCTTTCCCCTATCCAAATTTGGCCACCAGAATGGAAACAAAGAGGGGAACTCGAAAGGCTTCTCAGTGCTTCCCTTGTCTCTCATGTTGCTGCACATGCCCAGCTGCTTCCCTTGGTTTTCCGCAAGGAGATGCGGACCTGGTGCATGCGGTGCCACGTGGACTGGGACACGGCGCTGTAGATGCACTTCTCCAGTCTCCTGGGAAGGGGAAATCCTGACTTCACGGTGGTTCTTGTGCTCAGACATGAGGAGATGTCCGGATACATTAGAGGTTTCTCAGTGGAGTTGCCAGAGCGGCAAGGAGAGGGCCAGGAAGGTCTAATACTCTGGAGGTGCCAAGGGTGCCCTGCGCTTCCCGCTGTCCCCAGGGCCCAAGCTCTCATCTCATCCATGAACCCACCAGCCCTTGGCAGCAGATTGCCATGGCGCAGCAGGAGGGCACCCGGTGCCGGGGCTCTGCCGGCAGACACGTCACTCTGAACAGCACAGCCTCTGCTGCCACCCTCTTCTAAGCTGCTTTTGTGGAGAAAATGCTTTGGGAGGAGAATTCCTGGGTAAGCATCACCTATTGCTCCTCCGCTGCTTGCCATGAGCTGGAGCAGAAGCCGTCAGCTCTGGAGACCAAACCTAAAAACCACCGCGTGGCTTTTGCAAGGCTGCAGAAACGTCGTGTCCGCTGGCTTGGCTGGAGCTCAGTGCTGATGATTAATCTGTCCTGCAAACCTCCCCTCGCAGCTCTGTTGGCTCCTTGGTGCTCCGCTTATCCGGCACGTCAAATCCCTACATCCCACGAGGAGCAGGTTGGATCCAGCGGCTGGCTGTGCCCATGGGGGCTTGGAGTCACCATCGTGTTTTTGTTGCCTGCTTTCGCCAGCCCCTGGGTAGCCACGCCAAGCGGTACCCGGTATTGGAGGCCTGGCAGCCGTGCTGCCTGCCCGTGTCCTATTTGCATTTTGGGCACGGTCTCTGCCGGCTGCCGTTTGCCATCTGTTGGAGGAGAAATCCAGGACGGGCGTCACTCGGTTCCCTTCGTTCCTGCCGCTCGGCTTCCCTGCACACGCGTGTGCCGGGGCCGTGCTCCTGCCACCGTGACGGACAGTGGGCTCTTGGTGTCCGCACCAGGCTCTTGGTGTCCTCACTGGGCTCTTGTGTCACTTCCTGGGGCTGCAGGAGATGCCTGTGCGGTTTAGTTTAAGGGATCCCAGCGGTTGTGCCAGAAGAGAAGCGACTGCAGCAGAATTTCCATGTATTTGGGCTACCTGGCAGGAAAGCTCAATGCAGGCTGCTTGCAGCTGGCAAAGGCCACCAGCCTGCAGGTGCCCGTAAAGCGCTGAGAAGCGGCTCCATCACGCGCTGCTGTGTCTCCTTGCCCTGTTCCATCTTCCCCGGGCACCTCAGGAGCAAGCACACATGTGCCAGTGGCCAGTGCCCAGTAACCCAGCTCCGCCAGAGAAACCTGAGGGTGACAGCCAAGTTCTGCTCCGTTCCTTCCTCTTTTGATCCAAAAATGTGTGCTTGGATGGTCTGTCCGTCACGGCCCTCCCGGACGAGGGTGAAGGCTGCAGCGCAGTGCGGCCTGGGGAGCAACCAGCCTCGCTTTGCACTGGCTTGCTCGCACTTTCCTTGGCAGCTGGGATGGGCCAATGTCCTCTGGGTTATGGTGTAAATAATTGCATTAAAATTTGGGTAATGATGAGAGGAGACATGCATGGGAAGTGCTTTCTGCTGAGGCAAGTAGGTGAGATACGTGGTAGCCCATGCAACTCAAAGTGACTGCTAACTAGTTACTCACTAACTATGACTCACTAGTGACTCACTAGTCACTACTATCCAAACTAGTCACCACGCCATGTCTAGAAAGTTCCTTTTCAGGATGTTTTGTCCTGCATACACATCAGTATTTTATTTTTTTCAATGATGCTCATTAGGAGCTATGCAGTGTGGAGAGGAGAAGCTCTTGGCCGTAGAGGTGGTGCACGGGGAGCATCACCGGCTCCGTGGTGCCAGCTCCGCGCTCCGACCTCGGCCCTGCTGCCCGCGTCCAGCGGGAGCCACACGGCAGTTTGTGGCTGAGGGAAAGGGAAGAGGGGCTGGCGGAAGGAAGCGGGGGAAGCAGAGATGTGTATCTCTCCATGGGGAGAAATCCATCCACCACCTCCGTGCCTCCGCAGCGGGTAAGGCAGGGGGTCCTGCTGGTGCTCCCCGCGGCGCATCCCGCTCCGTGTAACCCGCGCTCTGCTCTCCGCAGTGCTCCATGCCCGCCTGCATCACGGCGTTCCACGTCACCTGCGCCTTTGACCACAACCTCGACATGAGGACTATTCTGGCGGACAATGACGAGGTGAAGTTCAAGTCCTTCTGCCTCGAGCACAGCTCTGGCGCCACCAAACACCCTGAGGAGGCACGGACAGAGCCCGACCACGGCCAGCTGGACCTGGAGAAGGTCACGCTGCGCAAGCAGAAGCTCCAGCAGCTGGAGGAGGACTTCTATGAACTCGTGAAGCCTTCGGAGGTGGCGGAGAACCTTGACTTAAGCGAATCGCTAGTGGATTTTGTCTATCAGTACTGGAAGCTAAAGAGGAAAGCCAACTCCAACAAGCCACTGCTGACACCAAAAACGGACGAAGTGGACAACTTGGCCCAGCAAGAGCAGGACGTTCTCTACCGGCGCTTGAAGCTCTTCACGCACCTTAGGCAAGACCTGGAGAGGGTGAGTACAGATTTTGCTTTATTGCAGATCCCAAAACAAACCCCATCTGGCCATTTTCAGTGCTCCTGAGAAAGCTGTGTCAAGCTGTCAGGGTGGCTCTCACCAGGGCAGCACCAGAAGTTGCTCCAGGTAGTTAATATTTAAGAGCAACCTGTTGTTTCAGGTGAACTTTGCAAACTGAAGACACAGTTGTGCTTTTGCACATGAGCCTGGGACATGTGTGGTCCTGGTCCCTAAATCACTGTGGGTGACCGAGTGCAGCTGCTGGAGCTCAGGGCCGCACGTCCTGCTCTTCCTTCCCTGTTCCCTGACACGTCCTGTGCTCGGCCCAGGGAGGATCTGTTTGTTTGCTCTCCCTGCAGGGAACAGCAAATCCTGGCCCGACCAAAGTCCAGTGCCCAGATGAGAGCTCCGGGTTTCCTTCCCGCTCCAGCCCTGCGGCACCGCTCCGAAGCGGCACGAGCTGCCTCCCCAATGGCATCATCGGTGACACTGCTATTTCTATGAGTTTTGGTAACAAGTCTAGCCAAAACTCTGTGTCTGGGATTGCCTGGCCCATAAAAATACCTTGACCTAAGAGTTCAGACACCAGAGTCACCGGGGTGGGTAACACAAACAGGGCTCTGCCCTCTGATACCCACTGCCTCTTGTGCGCCTTGCAAGGTCACAAATTAAAGCTACAAAAATGCCCTATTGCCTGAAAATCCTTATGGAGGCCCACCCCCCGCCCCCTTTTTTGAACTTTTTTACCCTCTTTGTCTCTTTTTTTTGGTGGTTCTTGGTTTGTTTGTTTGTTGTTGTTCTTGTTTGTTTAATCTTGTTCCAAGCTTTGTTCAAACTGGCTTTAATCCGAGGCCCTGCAGCCCCCAGCACTGAGCGGGCGCCTGCAGGTGTGTGCGAATCC